CTTCACCCCTGCCATGTAGAGCTACTAATAACATTCAACCTCCCGCCTTTCCTGGACTACCTGTGACTCTAGCCCAGTGGGGATTCCCACCTGCAACAGGTTCTTAAGCCAGGCTTGGAAATCAGCTCCCATTTCCTATCCACAGCCTATTTCCTGCTCTCCTGTGTTAAACAGACTTATTTAAATGGCTCATTACTTGCAGCACATGTTCAGAGGGTAACTCTGTCTCTGAGTCAGGACAAGAATGTAGATGTTAATAGTAACACATAATAACTACCCTTTTAATTAAAAAGACCTCATGTACTAGGCTCTCTTCTGAGCTCTTGATATGCTTTATATCATGTGATCCTCCTAACAGTAGTCCTCATAGGACTGTTGGAATTTTCTTAGACGAGGAACCTGAGGCTGAGGTAAGGCAGCTCACCCTCAGTGACGGAGTGAGTCAGTGGCAGAACCAGAGCTCAGGCCTGGGTTTGTCCACCTACAAAGCCCAAGCTCTCCATGACAGACTGTCCCACTTCCCCCCGACCCATGTGAGTGGCCACTCTCACTTTATCAGATCAGGTACCAGCTCTCCTGGGGCAGGTAGCACATGTTTTAAGAGAGAGCGTTATCCAATTCCTGTGACAGATAAATGACAAGTGACGGAGAAAGAGGTGTTTGGGATTAAATACATACTTCTACCAAAATATCAAACTGGCATGGTCCAAGTCTCCACCTTCTCTCTGATTCAGGGTTTCTTAACTTGGGACTATGGCCTCTGGGAGCTCATGAGTCCTCTGAAATGGTATGCAGAATGCTTTACTGCTGGTGTAGGGTTGAGGCAGAGTTGGCTTCTGTGTTCTTTTGTTTTTTTTTTAAGATTTTATTTATTTGAGACAGTGCAAGAGTGTGCAGGTGCACAAGGCAGGGGGAGGAGGAGAGGCAGAGGGAGAAGCAGACTCCCCACTGAAGCAGGAAGCCCGACACGGGGCTCGATTCCAGGACCCTGGGATCAGGACCTGAGCCGAAGGCAGATGCTCAACTGACTGAGCCACCCAGGCGCCCTGGCTTCTCTGCTTTTTTACAGGGACAGTGCTTTTATGGGAACCATGGCTTTCAGGAGACTTTCAAAATAGTACTCTAACAGTGTTAAGAAACAATGTACTAATTGCAGTGGGACATAAAATTGGTTTTACCTAAATTACAAACATAGTCTTATCCCAGGAAATTATATTAGAGTTTTTTCCCCCTGAAAGTACATTTAAACAGAACAAATTTCAAAACTAAGCTTCTTTGAGGGCAATAATACCTGTGTGTGTGGAGCTGTGGCTTTACACTTTACCAGCCTTCTGATAGGAGTCCACTAATAGTGGGTATGCTTCAGAACTCTGGGGCTGAGTCCATAGCCGCCCTGCTTCCTGAATTCAATTAAAATGTTATTGGGATAAGTAAGAGACAGATCAAATGAACCTTAGACTTTTAAGAGTGGGGACTTTGTCTATTCATTGAGCGTTTTCATGCTTGCGGTCTACGAGGCATTAGGAATTTTATAGTAAATAAAAGTCCCTACCTTTATGGAGCTTGCATATTGTGTTCTATATACATCTTTGTATCACTAATGCCTCACAAGGAATACTGCTCAACTGTTGGATAAATAAATGTCCTGCTGCATCCGTGTTAGGTTAAAGGAAGGCCACTGGCTTTGATTTGTTCAGCATCTGATTATTGAGTCCCAGTTATGTTCCAGGCATTGAGCTAGGTACTGGAGATATGTGGTAAGCAAAACAAGATGTGGCCTGTTTCCCAGTGGGAAGACAGACAATCAAGTAAGCACATAAAGAAATAATTGTGAACTTGGACAGGTGCCCTGAAGGAATTGACTTGATGTTATGAGAATATATAATGAAGACCTGGCCTGATAGAGGGAAGAAGTTGCCAGGGAAGGGTACACTAAACTGACGTTAGAGCTCAGATCTGTAAGGTGAATAGGAGTGAAGCAAGTGCGGGGTTGTCCAGGCAGGGGACTGGGCTTGCACTGTATGTTCACTGTGGTTGCCATTTCTGTTCAGAAGATAGGTTGATGCAGAGAAGGAGGGGGTCCTTTCTCATTAATTTAACAAGCATTTGTGGGCACTCTCTTTGTGCATGGGCAGGGGCTGATGATGAGTGAGAGTTCTGACCTGGGGAAGGCACTGATAATGGGACAGACAGGCTGAAAGGTGCTGGTTTCTCCGGGGTGCAGCCTAATAAGGAGGCTGGAATTGTGGCTTCTGCAGCTGGTACCTGTTGGTTCCCTATTTGGGTATCAGGCATCTGCCTTTTCATGGGGTCCATTCCTCAGAGGAAGCCTGAACTAGTTGGCTCCGCCCATGCTCCGAAAGTGAGGATCAGGTGTGAACCCATTATAGCTGTGTTGGTTTTATTTATCTGTTGTCTGTGGTGGGGGTGGGGTGAGGGGTAAGGGGGTAAAGAGAGGGGGAGACCGGGAACAAATGAGGATGAGAAATGGAAAAGTAAGCCAGAGCTGGTGAAGTCAGAACTCTGGACCAGTGAGGAAGGTGGTGGAGGTCTGTTTGTATTAGTCCTAAGGGGAGACCCCTGAGGACTGACTCAGAAGCACAGGTGGGGACCACTGTTGAGAGAAGTGAGCAAGAAGAGCTCTGTCTTAGAGAAGTCTAGAATAATTATGAGAATTATTTTTAAACAAGCATTTATTTTGTTTCTTTTTTAAAAGATTTTATTTAACTGAGAGAGAGAGAACAAGCAAAAGAGAGAACGTGAGCAGGGGGAGGGAGAAGCAGACTCCCTACTGAGCAACTGAAGGCAGCCACTTTAACCAACTGAGCCACCCAGGCGCCCCTATTTTGTTCAATTAATTATAAAAATAAATCGTACTCAAGGGAGAAAATTTGGAAAATGTGGGAAGTACATGAAGAAATGCCTGTATCTCATCATGAAAATGTCAGAACCAAAATGAGATAGCATGCGTAAAGGGTCTGGCATCTCTCAGGTATAATAATGTGTATAATAATGCTGTTACAATGCTGAGGCAGAGTCAACCCTTTGGCTCGGAGAATGAGGCATTTATCTTAAGGGATAAGGAAATGTAGAAGAAATTATTTTGTAATTAGCTTTTTGTAGTGTATGTTTATGGGGAAAAAAATGTTAGCTCTTCCTTACTCCAGCATGAGAATGAGAAGTTAAAGAATCTTGCAGATTTATGAGAATGTTTTGTAGGATTTGGTGTCAACTCTTTTTTTTTTTTTTTTTTTTAAATCAGGCACTAGGGGGGCCTCCTAACCACTGTGCTCCCTTGTCAGTTACCCAGACTGGGCGCAGAGAACTCTGGGAGGGAGTGTTTGCTGCCCACAGGCCTCATTTATTGTCTGTTCCTCTACTATTGATCTGTTAGGATTGTTTATAAATGTACTGATCACACCAGTATTTTACTTAGGTGCTTTCTTTGTGAATCACTTATGTACATAAACATTTACCCCAGCATTGTCCTTCAACCGCAGAAGATCTGGCTTTAGAGATGTCACTGTCCAGTTTGTGGCCTCACCCCAAGTGTTTCTGGGCATCTCTCTAAAGACGGCAGCCAGGGCATAGGGTTATGTTCCTGGCTGCCTGCCCACAGGCTGTAGCCAGACTCCAGGAATAAGCTCTGATTGAGGCAGACCTGTAAACATCTGACAAGGGCAGTGTCCAGAGAGTCAGTGGGAAGAAACAGGCAGCTCCAGTGAGATGGAAAGGGAATCCTGGAACAAGAGACTGGAGATGCTGCACACTTGGGGCTGGCTGTCCCATCCCCTTTCGAGGTCTCCATTTCTTGGCCTATAAAATAAGGAAGTTAGACTAGCACAGCTCTGAGATTCCTAATTACCCAGAGCTGGGGGGCTGAAAGTCAGATTTGTGAGCCAGCAGTGCCCTGCTGATTATGTTAAAGTCTTGGGAGGGAATGAGTGTTGGCTTTATAATTGGTCGTTATGTTGCACATACTGATTTTAGCACTTCTCTATTTCTTATATTTCAAAGTATTTAAAAGTGTAATTTAAAAAATACCAAAGGGAATGTGTTAGTGGTTTAGAGGAAGGAATCAAAAGAGTAAGAGTTGCATCTTGAAGGGATGCCTTTGGTTATGTTTAGATGGAAGGAAAAAAGAGGCTAGCCTGTAGGCGCGGCAGGGTGGGGGGTACTGTTTCGGTAGAAGGAGAGACAAGAGAATAAAGAGAGATGATTTCCTGGAGGGGAGAAGAGTCCTTTGGTCATGTTAAAGAATGAAAGGCAGGAATTTTGAAGTCTAGCTGGGGAGAGTTCGGACCCACTGGATGGAGTGAAAAAGAAACTAGTAGTGACTTTCAAGAGAGTACTTTCTGTAGAGTAGTCAGAGCAGAAACTCGATTTAGAGAGGTTAAAGAGGCCATGAAGCACCGGAAGTGAAATGGATACACCTGTGGTTTGCCATGGCTGACAAGCAGCAGCTTGAGAGCAAGAGGACAGTAGTTGGATGGGGCAGAAGAGCAGCTAAGTAGAACGGTCAGTAGAATGGTGTTTTTAAGGGCAGAGAGAATTGTGTCTATTTGATAGCAGCACAGGAGCTAGTAGAGAGGGAAAGTGGTCAGGGTAGGGTAGTGTGGTGAGTACAGCTTGGACTTTGCATGGAGTTTAGCTGCCTGGGCTCCACTCCCAGGTCTGCCGGTCCGTAACTGAGTGAGCTTGGTCAAATTACATAACCTCCTTAAGCCTCCAGTAAGTTGCCTATAGAATGAGGATGATAATACCATATCCTGTCGAGGTATCCTGAGGTCACAGACTGAAAGCACCTTGCAGCAGCGCTGGTGTGTGCCAAATAAAATGGTGGAGGAAGCAGGGGATGACTAGGGACAGCAGGACTCAGAACTCAGGCTGGAGCGGCTCCATCACGTCCATGGCGGCTGGAGATGCCCAGGCCAGCACAGGCCCCGAGACGGCTACCACTTGCTGATGCTTTTTAATTTGTGCTGTGATTTATCCTACAGATTAGTCAGAAGAAGTTGAAAAAATATGAGAAAGAGTATCACACCATGAGGGAACAGCAGGCCCAACAAGAAGACCCTATCGAGCGATTTGAGGTTCGTTTGCTTATGGCCTGGGTCGATGGGAAGCTCTTTCATTTCCTATAATCATGCCTGTAACTGGCTTTGCTGAGTTCTTTTAAATTTAAATTCAGATCCACTGTTTCTAGGTTCAAGTTTCAGTTTGAATTTGCAGAGAGAAAGTAAGATCGTTGTGCTTTAAACCAGCTGCCTAGATTGTCACAGTTCAGTGGCCTTTTGTCACGGTTAATCAGAAGTAGCTGCTTGACAAGGTCACTGGGACCAGTTAAGTATTTCTCATCAGGGACAGAAAAGAAGAAATTGTTGCTTGCCAGCATTTTAGGACCAGCCACTCCTCCCATGATTTCCATAGGACTCAGAAATGAGTTTTGAGGGTTAACCCTGAGAAATTGTCATCACCATCTGATTTTTACATGTCTGTAACTGGTTTCTTTCTACCCTTCAGCGGGAGAACCGGCGTCTACAAGAAGCTAACATGAGGTTGGAACAGGAAAATGATGACTTAGCCCATGAGCTGGTGACCAGCAAGATTGCGCTGCGGAAGGACCTGGATAACGTGAGTCTGACATGGCCGAAGGGATGGATTATTTTGAAACTCTCAGCTTCTCCCTTTATCAAATCCAGTCCTTGAATTGTAGTGTCTCTCGTCCTAATGTGTCACCTGTGAAGTGTCCCTCTTGCAGAACCACTTGCTCGTATCACTCTAGCTTCCCTCCTTTCTCTCAGGGGTTTTCCGGTAAGCCCTGCCTCCCACACTCCTCTCTTGTTACACAGGCCGTCCCTGAACTCCTTTTCCACCAGTGTTTGATGACAGGCTTTTTTGACTAATTCTTATGTTCTGACAATTGACAGTAGCATTTAATCATTATCCTTTACTTATCTTCCCTAAGAAGAGATTTTGTTATCCTGCATATTAGGTGCTTGTTGAATAAGCATTGCTAATTGTCAGTGCCTCAGCAGCTTGTGATTTCACCAGTAATTTCAGTTGGCACATGTTCTTTCTTTGCTTCCCCTAATCTTAAAAAGTTCAAGATGATGGCTTTCCTGGCAGGGTATTTATCCATTTTCTATACTACAAGTCTCCCTTTGAAAAAGTGTGATCTTTCATTCAGTGTTTGGGTCAGAAGTTGGCAAACTTTTTCTCTGAAGGGGTGGATAGTAAATATTTTAGGCTTTGTGGGCCATATGGTCTCTGTTGCAACATCAAACTCTGCCATTGGCACAGAAGTAGCCGTAGACAATAAGTAAAGGAATGAGCGTAGCTGTGTTCCAATAAAACTTTATTTACAAGAATAAGTAGAGGCTGGATTTGGCACGTGGACTGTAGTTTGCCAACATCTGACTCATATTTCCCTGTCAGGCTCCTAAGATGACTGTTCTGTTCATTGGTTTCCTAAGGTTCTAGAGAGAGGCTCAGGCTGTTGAGGGTTTACAGGGGACTTACATGATATGTTGAACCCCATAAGATCTATGAACTTCATGAGGTCCTTGACATCCACCAAATGTGTATGAAAATACTGTGTTCTGTATTTCTTTTAAAGTCTGTACTTCAGTTAGATTCTCAAAGTGGTTCACACGTCAGATGAAGAGAGCAAGATGGCAGTATCTGCCAGTTTTTATTTTCTTTAGAAATAGAGTTGTAGAGTAAACAGTTTTGAGCAGACCTTTTTTTTTTTTTAAAGATTTATTTATTTGGAAAAAAAAAGATCTTCTTATTTGAGATAGAGAGTGCGGGGGGGGGGGGGGGGGGGGAAGGGGAGAGGGAGAGGGAAGGAGAGCGACCCTACACAACCTGAGCCAAAACCGAGAGTGGGACACTTAACCGACTGCACCCCCAGGCGCTCTGAGTAGACCTGTATTCTAACACCACTCTCCTTTCAAGTAGAGCAAAAAGTGGGAAGGTGGAGTATCAGCTCTGTCCCAGGGTACGGGGAGAGTGCCATGACTTGGTGAATGTGAAAAGCACCGCCAGACACAGCCAGCTCAGGCCGTGTTCCTTCCTCTTGCTTGTCAGCTACACATGGCTGCAGGTGACTGGGAAGGCTGCTTTTTCCAGTTTTGGGGGGCAGTTTCGAGGTCACTAGCCCTCAGTAACCGGAACCTAGAGCCCTGACTGCTTCATGGTTTACCGCAGTCTGGCCCTCAGGTTTGAGTCCCCACCTTCTGGTGCAGATTCCCGGCCTGCCTTCTGTTCTTTGTAGGAGCGCGGGAGGAATGGCCCCCTCCTTGTTGGGGCCTTTCTGCCCAGCGCGTGGAGGGAGGCAGCTGGCGCTGAGCAGCCGCTACTGAAGCCAGGCCACAGCGCGCACCTCAGGTGGCCCCACGGCAGCTGGGCATCATGCAGCAAGGAGGTGAAAAAGACAAAGAAAATGGGTCCCGGATAGGAGCTTTGTGTTCAAAAAAATTGTATGAAGAGGCCACTTGAGCTAAGATCCCGGGTGGATTGTTTAGTTTGAGCTGCTGCATGGTCACCTGCCAGGCCCAGCCATCACACTGATGTTCCCCTGTTGGAGTCTGCTCCTTAATGGTGTAAACCTTTTCTCAAGTTGTCTTACCCTGAGACAGTAAAGAGCTAGGTTCCCGATACCAGGAGTGAGGAATAGTCAGAATGATGTGAACTCCCATTTGCTGGTGGCCTGTGTGGCCAGCACTGTGACGAGCACTTTGCTGACATCTGGGGTCTCTTACCCTTGCCTCAGCCTCGTGAGGAGAGTTACATGAGCCCCCCCGATAGACGAGGATTCTTGTAACAATCACAAAACTTGAGATTCAGAGAGAGATGGAGGCGCCGTGGAAGAAGCAGAGCCAGGAATCTAACCCAGGCCCATCTGATTGGAATGCCCCAGACTTGTCTACGATGCCACGCTGTCTCCAAAATAAATATGGAACAAGAAGCTACGATTTGGTGTCATAACTACATCAAAAACATATATAGTGACACATAACAAGCAAACATTTCCTAAGCACTTACCAAGTTCTAGGCATTGCTCTAAGTGCTTTGGTCCTCAAAACAACCCATGTTGTGTCAGGGATGCAGTATGATCCCTGTTTTACTCATGAGGAAACTGAGGCATAGCATGACATTTCAGATTGAAACCCAAATGGCCTGACACCAGAGCTTACACTCCTAACTTGGCTCAAAGGAGCAGGGCCCCCTACTGCCCTTAGGGCTCAGGAACTTCAAACTGGGGTCCCCTCCTCCAGCCGCTACTACAGTGCCGAGAAGACAGACCTTCTCCACGCTGGACATGGAGTCCCTTGCCAAGTCTGTCTTCTCTTGTTCCTTTAGAATCATCACTGAAAATCAGCTAGGTTCTGAAGTGAGGGGCATGGGGTCCTCTCACCCCTTTTTTTGGTTTGTTTTCAGCCTTCAGGGACTTAGGCTTTTTGGGGGTTTTTTTGAGAGAGTGCACGAGTAGAGGGAGGGATAGAGGGAGAGGGACAAGCAGAGTCCCTGCTGTAGGGCTTGATCCCAGGACCTGGAGATGATGACCTGAGCCACCAAGCTGTCCCCTCAGTCAGGTTTTTGAAAGAAATTCATTATTTTCAGCTTTTCCCTTTTTGCATCCCAGAGTAAAACTCTGGTGTATGCCTTACCAGGTTTCCAGAACACTCTTTGAATTTTCAGTTGATGTTTTATGTCACTTTTGTTACAGGAGAGATTGCTAGTTAGCCATGGAGTCCCCAGGTGAGCCCAGCCATGCTGTCTCCTCTATGAAACGGGAGTCCTGCCCAGACCTAACATTGCACAGGGTCCCTGGCACAGGGCCACCAGGACCATACCTGAGCCCCTCTGGCACATCGTCTACACTGAGTGTAATCAAAGTGAGGGAAACACTCAGGAGCCCACCTGCCGAGATTTACAGTCTGGCTACACCGCACACTAGATCTGTGACCTTGAGCAGCTTGCAAACCTTTACTGAATGAATTACTTTGGCTTCTTTATCAAAAATCGACTGTATGGATGGTCTCCTCAGTTCCATACCTGCTCCATTGATCTATATTTGTATCCTCATGCTAACACCATAGTCTTAATTACTATAGCTTTACAATCTGAAAATCAGGTCATGGAGTCCTCTAACTTTATTGTTCTTTTTAAAAAATAGTTTGGCTATTCTGTCATTTACATTTCCACATAAGCACTAGGATCAGTTTGTCAGCTTCTAGAAATAAAAGACTCTGGGATTTTGAGTGGGGTGGCATTGAACCTGTAAATCAGCTTGGGGAGAGTTATCATCTGAATAATAATTGGACTTTCCAACCCATGAATAGGTTATAATTTTCATTTATTTGTGTCTTTTTCAATTTCAGCATTGTTTTTTAGTTTTCAGTTAACAAAGCTTGCACATTTTTTAATTTATTGTAAAGGATATTGTTTTCCTAAGGGCGTTTTCCAATTGTTTATTGCTAGTCTCTAGAAATAAAATTGATTACATGACCTTCTGTCCTATGACCCCACTGAATTCACTTATAATTCTAGTAGCTTTTTTGTTTACTATTTAGGATTTTCCACGTACACAGTCATTTCATCTCTGAATAAAGACAGTTTACTTCCTTTCAAGTCTTTATGCCTTTTTCTTTTCCCAGCCTCCTTGCACCCACCAGGATCTTCAGGACAATGTTGAATGGAAAGAGTGGGCATCACTGCTTTGTTCCAGGCATCACCTGGAGGGTTTTCATAGATCAGGTTAAGGAAGTTCTCCTTTCTTCCTGTTTGTTGAGTTTTTGTCATGAATGGGTGTTGAATTTTGTCAGATGCTCTTCTTGCATCTGTTGAGATGATTATTTGCTATTTCTCCTAATTCTGTGACTATGGTGATGTAATTTGAATTTTCAGTGTAAACCAACTTTTGCATCCCTAGGAAACTTGGGGTTTCCTTTTTTTTCCTTAAGATTTTTTTTTTTTAAAGATTTTATTTATTTATTTGAGAGAGAGAGAGAATGAGAGATAGAGAGCACGAGAGGGAAGAGGGTCAGAGGGAGAAGCAGACTCCCTGCCGAGCAGGGAGCCCGATGCGGGACTCGATCCCGGGACTCCAGGATCATGACCTGAGCCGAAGGCAGTCGCTTAACCAACTGAGCCACCCAGGCGCCCTTCCTTAAGATTTTTAATTAAACTTTTTGTGTTCATGAGGAGTATTTGGAGTTTCCATAATGTTTTGTCTTGTTTTGGTATCAGGGTAATGATGGCCTTCTAAAATGAACTGGGAAGTGTCCCCTCCTGTTTTCTTAAGGAATTTGTGTAGGATTATTCCTTAATTAAATCTTTGATTAGTGATGCCATGTGGGCCTGGAATTTTCTTAGGAAATTATTTAATTATGAATTCAGTTTATTTCCAGATAATGAAAATTTTCTAGTTCTTGTGTCTATTTTTATAATTGTGTCTTTCCGATAACTTAATCATTTTAGTTGTCAAAGGTGTTGATATAAAATCATTGTTATTTCCTTACTCTTTTAATGTTTATAGGATCTGTTGAGATGTTCTTTCATTCCTGATTAAGAGTAATTTGTGTCTTTTCTCCTTTTTCCTTAATCTGACTAGGAATTTATCAGGTGTGTTGGTTTCTTCAAAACCCAGTTTTTGGTTTGATGTTTTTCTTTGTTTCATTGATTTCTGCTTTTTGTTATTTTTTTCCTGACTTCATTTTTGGTTTAATTTGCTCCTTTTCCTAGCTGATCTTTTTTTTAAGATTATGTATTTTAGAGAGAAGAGAAAGAGTGGGCGCACACGCAGGGGGAGGGGCAGAAGGAGAGAGAGAGAATCTCAGGCAGACTCCCCACTGAGCGCAGAGCCTGGACTAGACTCAGGGCTCGATCCCATGACCCCAAGATCATGACCTAAACTGAAATTAAGAGTTCGACGCTTAACCGACTGAGCCACCCAGGCACCCCTGCTCTTTTTCTAGCTAGTCTTTTTAGTTCTAGACCCTGTTTTTCTAAAATAAGCATTTAAAGTTATAAATCTCCCTGAAGCACTCTTTCAGCTGCATTCCACACATTCTGATATGTTTTTATTTTCATTCAGTTCTTACTATTCTTTCTTTGACCTGTGAATTGATTAGTCACTAGTGTATTGTTTAATTTTCAACTATTAGGGATTTTTCCCAGAAATCAATCTTCCTCCCTCCCTCCCTTCCTTTTTCTTTCTTTTTTTTTTAGATTTCATTTATCTGTTTGAGAAAGCAAGAACAAGCAGAGGGGAGGGTCAGAGGGAGCAGGACACAAGGCCCAATCCCAGGACCTCCAGATCACAACCTGAGCCAAAGCCTAACTGACTGAGCCATCTAGGCACTCCTCCCAGAAATTTTTCTATTTTTAATTTCTGATTTAATTCAGTTGTGATCAGAGTACATATCCTTTCTGATTTTAATCCTTTTAAAATATATTTATGCTTATTTTAGGGCCTACCTTATCTATTTGGGTCCATGCCCCACATGTCCATTTACAAGTGGAAAATGTGTGTGTTCTGGTGTTGTGGGTGCAACATTCTATAAATGTCAGTTTGGTCAAGTTGGTTGAGTTTTGTTTTTTTTTTTAAAGATTTCATTTATTTCAGAGGGAGAGCACAAGATGGGGGAGGGTCAGAGGGAGAAGCAGACTCCCCGCTGAGCAGGGAGCCTGATGTGGGACTATGTCCCAGGAACCTGGGATCATGACCTGAGCCAAAGGCAGATGCTTAACTGACTGAGCCACTCAGGCACCCGAGTATTATTGATTATTGAAATCTTCCATGAACATACTGGTTTTCCCTCTCTACTTGTTCTGTCACTTACTGAGAGGACAGTGAGGAAGTCTCTAACTGTGCATGTATTTCACCTTTCAATTATGTTAGTTTTTGTTTCCTCTAATTTGAACTTATACATTTCAGATTATTACTCCTTCTCAATGAAGCAAGTCTTTTATTGTTATGAAATGTCCCTCTTTGTCCCTAGTAATACTCTGCTCTGAAATCTACTTTGATATTAATAGTCACTCCAACTTTCATAGTATTGCCTGGTATACATCCTTTTCCATCCTTTGACCTTTAATATGTCTGTGTCTTTATATTTAAAACTGTTTTTTGTAGCCAGCATATAGTTGGGTCTTGCTTATTTTACTCAGTCTGATAATCTCCTTTTAATTGAAATGTTTAGACCAGTTACATTTCATGTAATTACTTATATAGTAGATTTAAGTCTGCCACCTTGTTTATTGTTCTCTGTTGCATTTGCTTTTTCTTTCTTCTTTCCTGCCTCCTTTGGTTTTTAAAGATTTTTTTTTTTTTTTAAGATTTTATTTGTCAGAGAGAGAGGGAGAGCATCAGCAGGGGGTACAGGAGGCAGAGGGAGAAGCAGACAGAGGGAGAAGCAGGCTCCCCGCTGAGCAAGGAGCCTAATGCGGGACTCGATCCCAGGACCCTGGGTTCATGACCTGAGCCGAAGGCAGCCGCTTAACCGACTGAGCCACCCATGCGTCCCTAAAGATTTTTTTTTTTTTTTTAAGTAATCTCTACACCCAACATGGGGCTTGAAATCACAGCCCTGAGATCAAGAGTTGCACATTCTTCTGACTGAGCCAGGCAGGCACCCCTCTGTCTTCTTTGGTTTAACTGGGTATTTTCATGTTTTCAGTTTATCTCCTCTATTGCCATATTAGCTATTCCAGAGCTTTCTTATCTCCAGGCCTCTGTCCCCCAGCTCCCAACAACCTCAGCATCCCTGGTCCCTTAACTCTGCCTCCTTGACCTTTTGAGACATGCTCTGTTTGGAACCCTTCACCCTCCTTCTTGGTCCAGAATGTGCCTCTAGGTAGAAACCCAGGGTGATAGTGGGACTCATCTTATTTGTCTTCTTTCTCCCAGGAACCACAGTTCTGCATGTATTGTCTGAAAACAGTAGTTTCATCAACTTTGTCCAGTTTTTTGTTTACAGTTGGGGGGGGGTAAATCTGGTCCCTGTTAGTCCTTCCTGACAAGAAGTGGAAGTCTGGATTTGTCTTTATTATCTCCAGATGCTCCCTCTTCATATGCTCATGCAGACAGAGTGCAGGGAGTGTGGTACCCTGAGGGGGCGCTGGTTAGGCCAGTCCAGTAGCTTCTGTGCACCTCCCTTTCACACAGCACTGAGAGTCATCAGCTCTTTGAGAGGCGGCACAAACACTGGGCTTAATGTCACGCCACCTGGTTGCAAATTATAGCTCTGCTATGTGCGTTGTGAGAACTTGAGGGGAACCAGGGTGGGCAGGGAAGACTTGACTTCAAAGACCCAGTTCATAACCTGGCTGTTTCACACTTCTCAGAATCACTACCATGGTAGTAGTGCTGAGTGAGAGAACATTCGTGTGTGCTCCAGGCTCCAGAGCACTGCTCAGAAAATGGTAACGGAGTCCAGGGGAGAAAGGAGAAAGGTAACAGGTTGCTCCACAGATTGAAGTAAAACCAATCTGTAACAGGACTTAGTTCTCCTTACTAGTTATTTTCTCTGTTGTTTGGTTCTCATTTCCTTTCACTGATTTCTTGGGTTTGAGCTAGAGAAGGAGCTGACAGGCCATGGCCCAGACAGGACAGGCCTTAACTCTAAGACCCCACTTAACTGCACACATGTGCAGCTTGCCATAATTAATGGCCTTTTGAGGTTGTGTTATCAAGCCATTCTCAGTTCTCCATGTAAGGCCCCAGCCCTGTGGCTCCTGTTCCTCCCAAAGAAGATACTTCAGAGAAAGTGTGGTGTGGTAGAAAGTGTGGGGGCTCTGTGACACCTCTTCAGCTAGGTGACATCAGAAACGCCGTTTAATTTCAGGGAATCCACCTCCATTCATTGTTAAAAAGGGGGCTGTGTATAAGGAGCCAGCAAAGACCCTCTGTATCTAATGCTGTGGGACTACGAGCTTCTGCCCCATTTCTGTGGCTGCCCTTTGACACGCTCCTCTTTGGTTATCCTTGGAATGTCCAGTGTCAGGGACTCCTGCGTCAGGCACAGGTGTATCATTTTCACTTGGACCCCCAGATCTACCCACCAGACCTTTGAATGTTTTCAAAAAGAACTGGAGTGGAGGGGGCCATTTCAGATCACAGGTCAGCGAGTGCCAGGAAAGAGGCAGCCTCCTTATCAAGTGATGAGAATGAAATGTAGACCTTGTTTGAGGAAGCAGAGGAAATACTAAGAGTCTCGGGGAAGAAAACCAGGATTTATTACTACTATTAGTGATCATGACTGCTACCTTTTATTGAGTGTTTACCATCTGCTAGGTGCTGTGCTGAGTCCTTCATGTGCCTTATCCCTCAGATGACAAGCCTGAAGCTCAGAAAGGTTCTCAGTGACTTGTCCCAGTGGCACATAGTCAGAGAACAACAGGGGTTGAGCCCAGGCTGTCTGACGCCAAAGGCTGAGCTCCTAACCCCTGCCCCGCACAATGTCTGTGCAGAAGACCGGACCAGGCACTTCTGCGTCAGTCCAATGTCTGACCTCTGGCATGTCTTCCCCTCTCTGGCTCACTTTCTCTGTCACGGTAAAAGAGGATGTCCTGAGCAATTCACATCCCATCCGGTTCTCAATTCTTGTTCTGTGATGGCATCTCTTACATGTTTCAGGCTGAAGAGAAGGCAGATGCCCTCAATAAGGAGCTGCTGATGACCAAACAGAAGTTGATCGATGCTGAAGAAGAGAAGAGACGGCTGGAAGACGAGTCCGCGCAGGTAAAGGGCCGTAATGGTGACACTCTCTGGTCTCTGGCAGGACTGCCTGAGGTGAGAGGCGACGAGGCACTGTCTGTACGGAAGACACAGCAGTCCTCTGATGAGCTTTAATCCTTGGGTCTGTGCTGCCTCCTCAGCTCAGGTTCACAGGCAGGGAGGAACTTTAGCCAAAGCCCCACTCCAAAATGGGGTTTGAGCTTTTGGGGAGTTTTGACTTTTCTCTCCCTCTCCTGGCATCGAGACCAGGTAGGTGAAGTACAGCCCTTCCAGAGTAGTCAGGTACTTTTTGGAAAGCCCAGAACGAGGCAGTTAGTGCCAGAGCTTTATATTTTCCTTAAAACATTCACTTTTCCTTTTTTTTTTTTTTTTTTTTTAATGTATATAGTTAAAAGAAATGTGTCGTCGGGAACTTGACAAAGCAGAATCTGAGATTAGAAAAAACAGTTCTATCATTGGTGACTACAAGCAGGTGAGTCTGAGCACCCTGTGAGTGGGCCATGTATTCTGGAAGCCCTGCTTGTCTGGCTAAATGCGTCCCCTCCACACCCGCCTGCCGCCTGCACTGACTGGTGACTTCACTGGGCAAGTGACCTCACTGTTCCTCAGCACTGACACAAGAGAAATGGCCACTGTCCCAGAGAACTGTCGTGAGGATTCTGCAAGATCAGGTCTGTAGAGAGCCAGGCATATTGCCCAGCATTTATAAACAGGCATTTAAGAAATGAAAGCCACCCTGCCCTTGCGGCCTCATGTTCACGTGTGGTCACATGCTGTGGAACCACTTCTCTCCCTGGCAGGTTGAGTTTTAAGAACATAACGAAACTGGTCCTGTTCTTTCCTAAACTCGGATCTCGTGCTGACTTGAGAGTCTGTCAAGTGTCTGTAAACCGTCGGCCATTGAGTGTGGTGCTGACGGGTTCCTCACATCCTAGGCCAGTGGATGTGGAGGTGGCACAGCCCGTCCTCCTGCCCGTCCTCCTTCCCCGACCTCCTGCCTGACCTCCTGCCTGTCCTCCTGCCCTGACCTCCTGCCCCGACCTCCTTCCCCGACTTCCTGCCCGTCCTCCTGCCCCGACCTCCTTCCCCGACCTCCTTCCCCGACCTCCTTCCCCGACCTCCTTCCCCGACCGACCTCCTTCCCCGACCTCCTGCCCGTCCTCCTGCCCCGACCTCCTGCCCGTCCTCCTGCCCGTCCTCCTGCCCCGACCTCCTGCCCCCCCGCCCCGCGCAGCCCCTTGGCGCCCGCTCTTCCTTCCCCTCGGCCTGTCCGGCTTCCGCTGTAGAATTCCTCCCAAGCCCAGATTCTGCACCTGATGACATTGCTCAAGAGATTGTCACTTTATGTCTGTTTCTTTAGATTTGTTCTCAGTTGAGTGAAAGATTGGAAAAGCAGCAGACAGCTAATAAAATGGAAATTGAGAAAATTCGGGTAAGTTTTCCTTTACCAAAGAGATTCTGTTCTGTACCACCTAGTTTGCTGTGCTTTGCTTGGCACCACAGATTTCAGGAGGGGGTGGTTTACTTCGATTTCAAAAGTGAGAGAAGCTTGTGAGTACCTGATGAGGGGCCCGTCATGGCCTGGCTCCATGCCGGTTTCCTCTGGACGGGAGGGCAGACGCAACCCAAGAACTCTGGTTTTAGATCTCAACATACAAATGCCCTTTTCCTCACATAACATCCTCTGGATGACGTGACTGTAACAAAAAGTGACCCGGGATTTGCAGATGTCCGTGGAGCAGGTGGTCACCGCAGTGCCACAGGTGAAGGAGGCCTGCCAGCAGGAGTTTGGCTCCAGGTCCGGTGCAGAGGTCAGGACCCTGTGGTGTCATTTGTCACTCCTCACGTTCTGTAAAATGAGGACACTCAACTCCCCGTCTGAGCTCAATTCCTTCTGCTATAATGGATCCAAATCCAATGAGGGCTTTAATTTTTTAATGTTTTTGTTGCCAATTCAGGGATTTTTGTAACTTGGTGCTTTTTTTCTTTTTTTAAAAGATTTTATTTGAGAGAGCGAGAGAGCATGCACATGAGCAGTGGGGGAGGGGCAGAGGGAGAAGCAGGCTCCCCGATGTGGGGCTGGATCCCAGCACCCTGAGGTCACATCCTGAGCCAAAGGCAGACGCTTCACCGTCTAAGCCACCCAGGCGCCTGGTGCCTGCTTGCTTTAAGCTGTTACCTGTATTAGAGCACTCATCAGATTTTTCCAAGATGAGTGACTTACTGAAAGATGCTTTGCTAACATATTTAATAGCTCAGTGGACCGGAAGGTGAGCAAGTTCTGTGCTCATGGCCCTAATCACACACATCACCGTTTTACCTGGAGGAAGATGGCACCTGGCCTCCATCCTCTAAGTGGTGTTTAACTAGCAGTGTTGGTTTTTTAAATGTAATTTATTACCTGATTATAAAACTAGCAATGCTCATTGCAGAAAACTTGGAAAATAAGAGTAAGAAAACAAACCCTTATATTACCCGTAGATAATATCACCATCATTAACACTTGGTGTCTGTTCTTTCAGTGCTCATTCTGTGTTTATTTCAACATCTAAAATGCTATTCATTCTAAGATATGCGTTTTTTTCCACATTTACCTCTCTGAAATTGGGACATGTTTTATAACTGATGGCCTTCTAAAGTGGTTTAACTGGGGGCACCTGGATGGCTCAGTCTCGGGCATCCAACTCTTGATTTTGGCTCAGGTCTAGATCTCAGGGTCGTGAGATCGAGCCCCGTGGTGAGCGACACATCTGGCTCCACGCTGGGGGTGAAGCCTGCTTGGGATTCTGTCTCTCTCCCTCTCTCTCTCAAAATTAAAATAAATAAAGTGGTTTAATTGGCAGAATATTTTCTTAGAGGAATGTGGAATGAGGTTTCTCCCAGTCAGGGACATCTTATTTTAATGAAACATGGTATATATTTGTCACCATGCTTTACAGACATTTCTGTGCCCTTGTTCCCGCAGCATTTAACCATTTTACCATGTTATGAAAAATTCCTCACTTTGTAGAGGCTGCCTACATACTTCCTTGTATAGATACAGCCCAGTATATATTTAACTTCTCACAGTGGTTGGATAATTTATCCCCCCATTATTTTTCTGTCTCTGATTCTGCAGTGAAAATCTTTGTATATAAATCTTTAGTCGCTCCATCTTCATTTTTTTTAACGAAGGTTCCTTGGAAGTGAGATGACCAAAGATATAAGAATGTTCTTACTGATTTTAGTGTAGGATACTACGTGGCTTTTCCACTAGGGTATCTGCCAGTTTGCAAAGAGAACAGAGTTTTTCCGGAGCTGTAGTGCTCGACCCAGAAGCCACCTCTTGGCTCCCCAAAAAGGAGGTGCCCACACCTTCCTACGGGGCCACTTCTCTTCTTCGCCTGTTCACGTCTGACATTCACTTTCAGCAAAAAGTGGATGACTGTGAGCGGTGCCGGGGATTTTTCAACAAAGAAGGTCGCATAAAGGGCATGAGCTCAGCTAAGGAAGTTTTAGATGAGGACACAGATGAAGAGAAGGAGACACTCAAGAACCAGCTGAGAGAGATGGAACTGGAGCTGGCGCAGACCAAGCTGCAGTTGGTGGAGGCCGAGTGTAAGATCCAGGTAACTGCCCGGCCCCATGCCCGGCCCCCTGTGTGGGCTGCGGAGCCCAGAAATGGTCTCTGTGGTTTGGGGGTTTTTTCCCTTTTAAACTTTGACCATAATCCTTATAGGAAGAAGCCCATTGCTTGTTATTTACCAGTGGATGTTTAATTAGTATTTGGCCTTCATGAATTGGACTTTCTCATAATGAGAATTGTCCATCAAGCTTGGAATCTTTTTGGTGGAGCGGAGACATGCTTGGAAATCACCGCTGCACCACCAAAACCTGTGACCTTGGGTTTGTACATGACCTCCTTACACTTCAGGTTCCTCATCTGCAAATGGAGGTGATAAGGGCCCCTATCTGATAGTTTGCTTTGAAGACTAAATAAGATAAAGCACAGAAAGGGCTTGCAGCACAGTGTCTGAGGACTTCCTAAATGCCACCTCTTAGTCCCAGCTCCTATCACTTAACTAGCTTTGTGACTTTGGACGTGTTACCTGATTGATCTGAGCCTCCATTCCTGATGAAGAAATCGGGGCTGACTTTGGTCATCTTTATCCTGCGTGGCGAGTTCCACAAGCACCCTTACGGAGCGCAAGTGGGTCCTAAGCACCATTTGTGGAAGGGACCGAGTTCAGGACTGAAGTTTAGGGCCTGGTCTCCCACATCGCACACATTCACTGGGCATCTGCTCTTTGCCAGGCCCTGTTCTAGGTGCTGGGGTTGCAAAGCTAAGACATGGCTTGTGTGACTGTCCAGGACAATCAGGAAAAGCACCACCAAGGCAGCAGTATGTGAGCTGTGGTCAAAGAATGAACAAGGGTTGCAGCTGCAGAAGCGAAAGAACAGTGAGCATTGCTGGTGGAGGGAGCGGCATGCTGAGCAGCAGAGGGAGGAGTGGGCCTGCCCAAGAAGGAGTGTCAGGAAGCTAGGGGTGGAGGTGGGTACTGAGCTGGCAGACAGTCTCTGGGTCCAGATCATGGAACCCCTCAAATGCCTTGCCTGGGAGTCTAGACTTTAAAGGTCTTTGCTGGAAATTAATGATGTGGTCTTAACCGGAGCGCTAGCCCTGTCTGTCTGGTGTGTAATAGGTGGACAGGAGAGGGAGGCGCTCAGTTAGGAGGTTGTTTTAATAAATACACTAGGCAAGAAATGGAGAGGTCTTCACTAGGAAAGATCCCAGAACCCTAAGGATCCCAGATACTTCCATGCCAGTTGGAAACTGGGGAATTTCCAGAGGCCTCTCAAGAGTAAATAGGCTGAAGTCTTGTGTTGACTCAGCTCTGGGGAGGCAACGCCATTCACACTGGAGCCCAGTACGCTCATGTACATTGTTCCTCTTGCAGGACCTGGAGCACCATTTAGGCCTTGCCCTAAATGAGGTACAGGCTGCCAAGAAGACATGGTTTAACCGAACACTGAGCTCCATAAAGACGGCAACGGGGGTTCAAGGGAAAGAGACTTGCTGAGTGAAGCGGCTGCCTCCAGACACCTTCAGAAAACACGACACCTTTTGTTGCCTTCTTTGGCCAGATGTGTGATTCTGTGACGTGTCCCAGGACCAGGATGTATCTAAGTCAGATCCATAGAAGCATGTTGGTAGGTCATTGGACCAGAGCTCGTGATGCAGGCAGCCTCTGGGGTAAGGCTCCCCTGACTACTGATGCTAACAGGCCTGCTGGCTGAATGACGCTCTGGACGCGCTCTGGGAAGCCATCCTCAGTGTGAGCTGCCAGGCCTCTCTCCCTGGCGGGGGTCACGACCTCACCCAGCCCAAGGGCTGAGTTGACATTGTCAGAGTTTGGGGATCCTTCAGGCTTTTGGTTTTTTTCTAAACCTTTAATCTTTTTTTTTTTTAAATACACGTATTATATGTATTGCGGGGCGGGGGGGGGAGGGGCGCGCAGGGATCAGTAACTCAGTTCTCTACTTCAGTGCCAGCATAGGGTCCTCCAGGTAGACATGGAGAAGCACTTTGTTTTCAATAGGAGGGTTTCCTGGTTGTAGTCGCAGCCACCTAGTTTTGTTAAACTACACGATACACAGGTTTGGGGCTTGGCATTATTCACGTTTCTGATCAATTCTATGCAACTCTTGTAGTTCCTGTTGTTCTTTAGTGTTAGCTGCCAAAACTTCACGGGGCTGGGCTGGGTGGCTTGACCAACGTGAGGCAGGATTAATCATAACATGGACAAATCTTATTTTGCTTCATGTGTCGTGTGTGTGTGTGTGTGTTTGTGTATATATATATATATATATATATAAATATCTTTTCCCAGTGCGCCCAACTGACAGTGTTTAAATCCCAGACTAAGACTGATCTGCACAAGGTAATTATGTGGATATCTGGGCACTTGATCTCACTCCGGGTTTGTCGGGTTCCCCTTCCTCCCTGCCCTCACAAGAGGTGGGAAATGTTCCCTGACTAAAAGGTTCCTAGTGTTTTTGCACAACAGGTCATACAAGCGAGAAAGACACTGCACTGTGTGTGTGTGTTTGTGTAAACGCATGTGCGGGATGCGCGTGCCGAGGCCCCGTCCTGCTGGCCCGTGTCCCTCCCCAGAGTGTGGCTGGGTGCAGACCTTGCTGTTCAGATGGACTGCAGGTTCTCACTTCAAAACTATGGAATGGAGGTTTTAGCACCTTTAAAAAAAGTAAATAAATAAATAACCTAGTCTTTTAATTTATATAGCGGTATGCTGACAGGCTGGCTCCGGGGGTCTTGTGTCTGCACGCAGGGCGCAGGTAGCTGTTCTGAGAGGCACTGGTCTATGTATAAAGATACTTGCCTTGTTTTGTATCTCTTTTCCCGGTGGCTGGCCTAGCGCTTGCTGAGGTCATCTGTGATAAGGGAGGTGACAAGCGGCAACCCCCCCCACCACACCCTCCACCGCTTTGTGTCTTTCTTGTTCAGTTACCGAAACAGCTGTAAGCCCATCTAAAACTAGGTGCGTGGACATTGTGCTAGGGTAGTTCCAGTGTGTCAACTTTATGAATTGAAATATAAACCAGTAAAATTGTATTACTATTCCTTTTGTTGGTTTTATTTTAACAGCATATTCATTAAATATTTTGGTACAAAGAGCATCACTTTGTAGAAACCGGTTTCATCATTACGCGCTCCTGCCCTGTCTCCCCGCTCGCACGCACACTCCGAGAAGGGCAGCCTGCGTGCTGGCAGACACGTGTGCGCTCGGGCACCGGGCACCCCCCACCCGCCTGCGCCCAGCGGCTCCAGGCTGCCGGCTTTGCGGGGTGCAGCGGGACCAGCTGCACCTCTGTGAGGCTGATGCCCTGCGCCGCCACGGCCAGCACGGATCCCCTGCTGCGAAATCAAGTGCCGCAGTGACAGGGTGAGGCGCTGTTTGTGAAGTGGGGGGTTAGGGAAGTTCTACAGGAGGTAAGGGTGTAGTAGGACCTTGCAAGATGAAAGCACCTCACCAGGCAGAGACAGGAGGTGGAATTCCAGGCCTAAAACGTGAAAGTGCGGGAGAAGCAGCCAGGGTCCAGGTCTGCTCTGCTGAAACTTTCAGGGAGAGAGGCAGCAGGGACGACACCTCTCGCAGAAGCTCCTTCCTACTCCCCAGGGGGTCCTCCTGCGCCCTGCCCCGTACGGCCCTCTTTACCACCTCGCCCCTTCTCTGCGGCAGGAAGAAGAGCAGTCTCCCCAACCCTGCGGTTCTCCCCGTGTGACCTGCCCTCCGGGACCCCTTCTACACCCGGCCTCGGATGGAAACGGGCTGAGATGCAGGCCGCAAAGGAGGGAAGGCGGTGAGTGAAGCCCCTGCTTGGTCTGCTGTACACTGCACCGAAGCCGGGCGAGTGTCTGGAGGGGCCTGGGCCATGGCAGGTGCGTGACAGCAGCCCGGACAGCGGCTCCAGAGCGCATCTGGGATCCCTTTGCCATTCACAGGCTGGAGAACCGATTTGTGGGGTCCACGTTCCTGGCTAGCTGGGACGGGAATCCAGAAAGGCCAGCTTGCCCTAGGTTTCCCAATCCCAAGGGTCCTAGTGTTCGGGGAGTGCAGGGATGCGGCAGAAATCCTCATGTCGCAGCTGGGAAAGGAGAAGGGAGTCCTTACGCCGGTCAGCCTGTGCACAGCAGGCCTCAGGGGACTCCGATGGGCCCTGCTGCGGGGAAGTCCCCTAGTGGTGTTGAGACCCAGACTAATAACACTTGAGTGCTGGGACAGGTGTACGGCGCCCTGTGGGGACAGGGAGGGATGTGTAATGGCAAGAGAGACGGACCGGCGGGGACTGTTTCTCTGCACTGCTGACTAGGGGGTTTGCTGGAGAGAGAGGCATCATTTAGCTGGAACGAACAGTCGGTAGTTAGCACCGTGGTCTGATGGGCCGGGGGAGAGAGACTGGATAATGAGGTTGAGGCCACCCAGGCCAAGCGGTCTGAAGGTCAAGGGAACCTTGACTGGAGAGTTTTAAGCCAACTTGCTTAAAAAATTTAAGTGTCCAGTCAGTCCTTTAGAAAGAAAAGTTGGAGGAGGGAGGAGAGATTTAGAGTCTAAAGAGAGGTGATAAGATAGGCCAGATCGGAGACAGTTCCTGGGGAGTCACTGAAACTTGGTGAGAGAAAGGGGGGGAGACACCCAAGGGGAGCCCGGGAAACACCGCTGGGAGGCGGCCAGAGCCCACAGATGCTCGGGACTTGCGCGGGTGGCGCTGCCACAGTGTTTCGGAACCTCAGCAGTACTGCTTGTGCTCTGGTGTGGGGCGCTGCCCTACCCTTCCACCTGGTTGGCAGCACTCCTCCCTCCCCGCCCCACCGCCACCCGTTTTCACAACCAAAAAGGTCTCCCATCCCTGGGTGGGGCGGTCAGTCCTAGTTGAGAAGGCCTGCCCTGGCAGGGGAGGCGAAGCCAGGAGAGCGTACAGAGCGAGCAAGGGGGCAGGCCTGCGAAGTGCTGTTCGAGGAGAAAGGGCGGCCACAGAGTAAGGCTGTGGTCACCGGGAGGAAAAGGAGCTCATCAGGCAGCAGTGAGGGCAGGACCAGGAAAAGCTCATTGGGTTTGGTGACGGTGGGGTTGCTGGTGCCCAGGGTGGGGGCAGACTGCGAGGTGGGTGGGGTGCAGCCAGCTGCGGGGAGGGAGGGGAGGAAGCAGAGACAGGCCAGTGTAGATGTTTAGGAAGCCTGGCGGAGGGAGGGAGGGAGGGACGGAAAGGTGGGTAGTTGGCAGGAACCACAGCAGAAAGAGCAAAGAGCGTGAGGCTTTGTGCTGGAAAACTCTGATCCTGGTTCTGACCACCTCCACATTTCCTCCCAGCCTGTGTTCCGTCGGGGCCGCTGGAAAGGTCAGTGGAAGTACCTGACGGGCTGGGTGGACTTGCCAGCAGGTCCCCCATTGAACCCAAGAGCCTCTGATCGCCAGAGCCTTGCTAACAAGTCCCAGCGGGGAGGAGGCATCTTCCTCAGGCCCCCAAGAGAGCTGCCACCCCGTCCGCTCTGAATCGCACGGGGAGCGGCAGCAGGCCTGGTGAATCCCGGTCGGTGGCGGGCAGGGAGAAGTTGGGCCCTGAGTGACAGAGGGAAGCAGGGACGCCCAGTGCCTTGTCCAGCCAGTGGTTGCACTTACCTGGAGGGCAGCAGCAGGCCCTGGCCTGGCTCTCTGCCTTCTCTGTCCCCGGACTCTGCGTTACTGGGGCAGCTCCACGGCAGGACCCTCCCAAGGGGGAAGAGCTTCAGCTTTGTATATAGGTGGTTGCTGCCATTTATAAGTTCTGTACTTTTATCTGCGAGCCAGCCTTAGTGTCCTGATCTGTCATGTGTGGGTACTGCCAGCCCTGGGGAACAGGTGTGAGTGAGATGCGTGCAAAGCACCCAGTAAATTCTACAGTTTAGAATTCGGCCCTCGCTTGGCACCCACAACTCCCCACTCGCTAGGTCAGGGTGCCAGGTTAAAGTTTCAGGTCCAGTGAACTCTCTGCACCATTAGCAGAGAGTTGTAAGGGCCAGGAAAATGGTCCTGCACTTGACCATTTCATCCACATGACAGCCTTCCTTCATTTAACCAGAGTGGGTCCACTGCTGTTTAAGACAGAAGCTTTTATTTTGTATTCATCCAAATGGGGAGAATGCAACATGTCAGGGCATTACAGACAAACGGCAGCAGCCAGACGAGAGGGTGAGTGTACGGCAGAGTCCGACAGTCGGTGCGAAGGAGCCACAGTGTGGGTGCTGGGGTGGCAGAGAGTCCCTTTGGACGAAGGCCAGGCATCTCTGGGCGAGGCACTGGTGACAGTCCACACATGCAGGCTGCTGCTTCAACCACGTCGAAGGTTCAAAGTTCAGAGTCCTACGTGTCGTCGTTGCCCCAGAGGGGAAGGACAATCCTTGGTGGTCGAATTTGCCAACGTTTTTCAACATCATACACAACATAAAGTTATTGCCAAGGACTTTGCACTGCAAATTATACTATTTACACTTGCGTATTCAGAAAAAACAGTAGATAGGTATTTTAAATCGATATCTAAAAACTACCTGGGCCATCACCAGACCAGAGTGAGAGTAAGCTACAGCCAGGAGTCCAATGTCATGTGTGTAACCGTGCAGTGGGGAAAGAAAGGTTTTCTACCCACGACTACACTCGGCCTTCTCCATGCCTCCTGAACTCCCCACCCCGGGGCTGAGGCTGAGCAGGGCCACCTTACTCCTTTATGAGGGAAGCCCCTTCTTGAACAGCCCCGGACTTCAGTTCGGAACTAGCTGCCTCCTCCCCACACCATGCCACCCTACCCACTCTGCTTCGAGCGGGTAACGACTCCGACAGGCCCCTCACTTCCAGTGCGACATGGCACGCAGACCAGGGTCTGTGGGCTGTGGAGCGAACAGGCTGAGCTGGGACCATCAGCCTCACTGCTCCTAGAAGTACCCTTACCCTAATTAGGGCTACCTCAGGAGACTGTCCTCTCCTGTCCTCCTGAAGGTGTGGCTGGGTCCCCCCACCGGCCACTTAGGCCGGCAGACTGCTCCCTGATAAAAGGCCTGCGCTCCGAGACACTTCGGGGTAAGCAAGGTAAGCACTGCTAAGGGCTGAAGTAGATGAAATCTGCCCAGGGAAGGCGGCTCACGCCTCACTTCGAAGCTCACCAGAAGACAAGAGGACTCCCACCTCAAGTAAGTAAAGTATTCACTCTGCTTCCTTAAGCTCCTGGGAAGGAAATGCACCTGAGGGTGGGAGACGGCACAAAAGACAGCCAAAGCCGCCTGGGATTCCTGGGAGGTGCCGAAAATAAGGCCCCAGAGTGCAGGGCCTTGACGTTGCCCGTA